CCAGATTCTTTAGGTTGTTGATACCAGTTTTATTATATGTAGTGTTAGTGTTAGTTCGATATAAATCAAATACCAAGTAACTAATAATGGACAAATTTCTTCCTTGGACCAGTTTTACATTTTCATCTTCTCATTTACATAAATTAGACTCTTATTACTTTCCATTATGTTTTAAATGTAAGAGTGAATCTTAGAGAAATATAATCATGCAAGGAGCTGATTTTGACTTTTGGTCAAATGAACTAAGCCAATTCACTTTTTAGAATTTAAACTACATTAGAATTTAAATTTGTTTCATCCACACTGTGTTGCTTAAGCTGGTTTAGTATACAATATGAATAGGGTATTAGGTTTTAGGGTATACTAAACAGTTTTGCTGCATCATTGTGTGTTCTACCTAGAACACACAATGATGCAGCAAAACTGTTTAGTATACATATGTTTAAAAATGTAATGATGGCCTGGATTCACAAATACTTTGTATCGTAACTTATGACAAAATTCATCCTAAGCAAATATGAGATGTTTTGCCAGATGCAAAATGTTTTGTATTCACAAAGCACATTGTAACCTACAATATTGTAAAAAGTCTCATAAACTACTACAATATAGGAAATCCTAGTTAATCTGAACTCTGACAGTTTGAAATACCATTAGTCCAAACTGATATTTGCATATCACAGTTTGGACATAATTTTATGTCCAAACTGTGATATGCAAATAAATGTTAACTTGTTCATTTATTAATATATCAAATAGTCTTTATACCACATGAAAACAATAGACCAAGAACAACTCTAATCTGGTCAACTTTGCTTTTTCAGGTGTCATCTTACCCACAGATTACCCCTATTTTCTCTTCTTATAAAAAAGGACTGGTTTTGAGATTGCAAGATTGGGCTACAAGTAGAAGAGTAAGATATTTGTAGGACTCTAGGCAACTTAATAATAAATAAATAAATGCAATAATAATAATAATGAATGAAAATAACATTCTGTATATATGGCTGTATTCCATTTGCTTAATAAATTACACCAGTTATATGGCATTTGGCATGACTGGTACAGAAATATGCAAATCTTTGATAATTTGAAACTTGATAATTCAAAGTCACAATTATTTTGTCCCTTAAATTTTAAACTAATGAGGATTTTCTGTATCTAAGAGTTTTTGCAAGTATATGTATTGATGGTTAAGTATTTGGTTGTATTGACAGATAATCAATTCAAGTTTTTTCTAAACTTTTCTGATTCAAAACTTCTAAGTTGTTATGAAATGATGAAAAAAATCCATAGAATTCTTCATGGTGGAATTAAAACTGTATAGAATATCATCCAAAAATAACATTTAATCAATGAATAAAAGTTTATCTCATTTTTTTTAAGCCAAAAAAAGTTAGTTTGTCAATTTCTTTCAAACTTCAATATTTCTATTAATATAACTATCAGGGTCAATTTTCAGTAGATTTCATTCTACACCTAAATTGGTTACATTTTTACGTATTCATAAATAATTAATCTGAAAAGAAAGTAATTTCTATCCAGTTTAAATTCTAAACAAATAAAATGCTATCTTTCACCAAACAACAGATTAAGTACCACATGTAGCAAAAAAATTCTTAAAGAAACATCATCCTATTTGGTCTATTAAAATGGAAGCAATCAACGGCGATGCCATAAGAAACATACTTGTTTCAGTTTCTTCTATTTTCTCATAAGTGCTACAATGTGTTTTATGAATACAAAATATAAAATATTGTTAGTTTCTCGTAACTTATGATACTGGAGAGATACTATGTCATATCTTACAAAACATTCATGAATCTGGGCCCAGGATTAAACAAAGATTTTTCTACAGATGTTCTTGTATCCAGCAAGATATCTTGTAAAGATTGTTTTTACCTAAGAGAGTAAGTACTCCCTTAGACATACTTATACATTTAACTTTAAGCTCTGAAAATTTCTTCTTTATCTGCATCAGGAGATGAAATTGTTTTTACCTCTTAGGTTACAATGGAAACTTGTATAGTTAATCAACTAAAATTTTGAAATTGTTTCATTGTTTCTAAATTGATCTTTAAGATATTTTTGAAAAGTATTTTCTTCAATACTTTTTGATTAATTTGGTGCATCTAAACATGCTTTTTGTCTTCTTCCCGACACAGTTTACATCAATTGTCGTATAACAACTGCATATACTTTCTTCATCTTTGAATGATATTGTAGTACTATGAAGCAGTGTTGAAATTGCAACAGCTTATCATGCATACACCATTAAACAAAACAAATTTGTCTCAAGTCAAACATTTTTTAAAGTAGTATTTTGACTAACAAATGTTCTGTACACTGTTTTACCTTTAGAAAAATATTTTATGCAATGGTTTTGTTGAATTACTCTGTGTCAAGCCTTATTCTCACAATCTAGTTCCTAATAATTTTTTCCTTTATCCAAAGGTTGGAGGGATTTTAAATGAAAGAGAGTTCGAATCAATAGAACACAGACAAAATAAATCATTGGAGAAAATGTATTTAAGCTTGAGGACAACTATGATAAAAAGTATTAACTAAGTTTCTTTTATCTTAACATTTTTTATTTAACCTGTTTCTGGAACTTGTTTGACTTCATATTTATATAATGTAATTAACAATAATAAAGATAATCTACAGCCAAGTAATATTAGCATATTCAAACTATTATTATTATAAATAAAAACTTGCACTTGTAAACAACATACCAAAAATTTTCAGAATGAAGCCAGGAGCACACGTGTAAAATTCTGTGGCAAAAAACTGAATCAGAAATCAGCTTTCGGTTCAGTTTATGTTTTACGCTTTTATGCCAGAACACACATATGTAAAAATTCTGGCTAAATATGAAACGCCACTGCCACCAACAGTACTAATTTTATTAATTTTTTCCTCTCATATAAGCTATCTATCTCTTTGTACCTTCCATTTTTTCTCCACTTCCTCTGCTATAATATAGAAAATTTAAATTAATAGACTCGTATTCCGAATTCAAATAAAGAACACGTGATCTAACTACTAGGCATATTTATCAATTCTACTAGCCCTACCTGTTATTTGAAATTTTGCACTTATAGCCATCCATAAACATAGTTTAAATATCGTGTCTTTATACATGACACTGATGTAGTCAAACAAATTCAATAAACTCCTCTATTTCATTTATTTTTTGTTTCTTCAAGATTGTCGCAATTGTAGGGTTAACCCTCAGTGCCGCCATTGTTAGAATAAAAACCATGTGTCCCACATGTCTATTTTGATGTCACAGAAAAGACTTCTCGTTATTGGAGGAATTTTGGCGTAAAAAGTAGAGACATGCTCTACTCTATTTTCAGTTCTGTTTCAGCCAAAATTTAAGAAAAATTTTTACGCTTTCTATTTTATGCTAGATTTTTATGCCGAATTTTACGCACGTGTGTTCCTAGCCTAAATAAATCTCTCTTCAGGGAAAATTTTACAAAAAACTTTTCTTAAAAGAAATTAAAAACACTTGAAAGCTTTGAATTTATTAAATTTTTTAAAAATTTTATAATATAATCCCCCAAAAACAGACTTAATACCTGAAAAGTTGAGAATGCAAGTCTTTATGTTTACAATTTCAATAAAATCTTTTTCTTTTTGTGGATTTGTGAAAATTTGGAACGCCATTATAGACGTCATATAAAACTTTCCCAAGAAATAAGTTAAAATCTCAATTCTACCGTTTATGAATTTTCTACAAGTGTTTCCCCAACCCAGTGAACACAAAAGAAGTCCGTAAAGGATAATAAATATAATAAGCAATTTTCCAGTTTTATGTAAACAATTCATAAATTTCTAGACTCAAGTGCTCAAAAGCTGTTAACTTTTACTTCTTTATAAACCTCAATATTTTACCTATTTAAGTTTGGTTACTTTACTTAGTAATAAAGATGCAAAGTAAGTTAAACTGCAAATTAATAATTACAGAGAAACCGTTGAAAAACAGATAACATCGGACCAGACTAGTTTGCGACGACTTTGCATCGAAACACACAGTGCCTCACGCAAACAGGGAGAAACAAACGGTCCAGTCATCACTCTGCTGATGCCAGAGAGAAGCAGAGGCCCAGAAAGTTTACCGACCACGAAAAGCCACACGAGCATTCTCTGGACGACATCGGCCAGCTCGGCACGGGTGAGGCCACTCCTCACATTTTGGGCTCCGACACAACGCAAGGTCGACGCGGCAATCCAGCCCAGACGACACTTAACTATTTTCAATTTAAATAAATTTAGTAGTACAAAACCCGAGAAAGGTCAAGAACGACGCGGTAACTCATCACAAATCGTGCCGAAGTAGCAATTTATTTTATATTTTGATATAATCCAACAGTCGTATTTATATACGAGCGATAGAGTTATATCACGATATAAAAAGCACCCAAACTTAACTGTATTTATTACCAGTTAAAATCAACATTTTAATAACAACAATGCAATTAAAAAATATTAATATTAATAAATCATAATAATAAATAAACTAATTTACGACGAATATTTTGTAAAAAAGACATTTTAAACTGTGTAAAGTCTTCGGCCTTATATAAAACTATGGAAATCATTTTTATGTAAGGGGCCCGGTAACGTTCATTTACACACAAATGAATGCCAATTCCATTAATTTACTTCTCTCTTCGTTGTAATTAATAAATAAACAAAATTCGACGTATTTAAATTGAAAAATCGTCGACGAAACTCGAATTAAAGTGAGAGTGATGACCCGAAAATTAAATTTTGAAGAAGAAAAAAAAATTAAACCAGACGAACAAAGCAAATGTTAGGCCTAACATCAATCGCCGATTACCCGAGTTAAATCGGCCCGAAGACTTATTCTATTCGTTTTAATTACTTTAATAACAATCGAACTCTCCTCAATTTTCAAAAAAACACTCGATTTATACATCTAACGAGCCATTTATTATCATCTTTTACCCCCAAAGTTGTTAACTTACCTCCATTTGCTCGGCCATGGCGTCCTATTATGGCAGACGCACGTGCATATTGAAAAACAGGTTTGAATTTTTTTCTAATTTATAATTACTTTTTATATCGTAGTTTTCTATAAAATTATCAGTAAGTTATTTTTAAAATATTTTAAAATAATAAAAATGTTATTGTTATTACTTTAATTTTAAATTGTTCTTTTATTTTTTTTTCCCGATAGAGGGATAAAAAATCGATTATTAAACGACTTATTCATGAATAATCGATTATTTTTACAGCTTTTAATGAAATAATTTATGGTACTTTATCTTAATGGAAACAGAGAAATATTCTTTGTAAAATTTCTTAGAGAAACAAAAAATATCTAATTAATTAAAATCGCGAACATCTAATAATGGATCAAACACCGCGCCAATGGATCAATATGGCGACCGTGGACGTACCACGTTTCTTCTTATCAATTACTTTTAAATATCAGAAGTATTGATGACCTCTAGAAATAATCGTACTTAAATTATAAATTTATACAATTTTCTACTTACACCAACTTTAATTTTGGGGTTTAATATCACTTTAAATATTTTCAATATGCACATGGGTTATAACTTTATAACAAAGACTCCAATTTAATTTCAGCTTCTTGATTAAATTCACTTTATTCTAAGGAGCGATGAGCGCAGTATTTATTTTTGAAATTTTATTGATTTTTTTTTAAATGTAAATCACGCATCGATTAAATTATAAATATAAAATGCAAAGAAGACATTTAATCTTTCAAAATGGTAGAATTTTCAATACTTTATGTAAATCTTTACCTTCAGTTTTTATACTGAAGAGTTGTATATAGAAGACAGAATTTGCTAAAATTCTACAAAACTCAGAAAAAATTGTACCCATAGATACAGGAGTAGTATAAGGCAAAGAATAACTAATCTAGAGATTAGTGATTATTCATATTCCTTTGCAAACCACATCTATTGAATCTTTAAAATATATTCTTGCATTCTTAAAAATATTCATTAAATTTTCTATTTTCAAGGAAAGACTATCGTTCCATGATCTTACAATGTAAGAGGACCTGTTCTTCAAAATGAAGACATGCCTACTATTGAATACTATACATGACATAGCCGCCATTTTAAGTCAAAAAAATCTTTCCTTTCTTTAACACATCCGCAATATCCTTCTTTTCATGTAATTTTCCTACAATAAGAGTCTTGATGTTCTGGTAAATCGGGATCAAATCCTGATGAAGAAGCCCCATCAACTATTTATGAACGGGAATTTTACTTTCTCGGCTGTTATATAAATAGGCCCTCCACGAGACAAGCGGTCTTCGTTCCCTGAACACTGGGAGTTCGGTCGTGGGTTCGCGCCTCGCTCGGAAGGGGCTGGCTAGGTGGAATTTTCCGAGTTTTCTCCACGTCTGTAACACCTAAATAGGAGCCAGTTTCCTTTAGAAAGACCTCCCGGAAGGCATCCTTCCTAGGCAGATCGCCCAAGTGTTGCTTTGCCGTTACTTAACCAACCAATTTTTTTTTTTTTACCCGGAAAAGTATTGAAAATCGTGTCGAATTTGATTCTCAGACGTTTTTGCAAATTTTGATGTTTTTAGCACTTTTAAAACCAAAACCTGAAATAACAGAAAAATTCCCGTGATGTGTGTTTGTATTAATGTCTATTTCGTTTAATATTTCGGGATGGCGTAAAGATTAAGAAACGAAATTTAGCAATGTAGCTTGTATATAAATGGAATTTATAATTAATGATTGAAGTATAAGAGATAGAGAGTCTCATGTACCATGTTTTGATTGCGGTGGACTTAATTAAAATTTAACGTCAAACAACCACCGAATAACGTCGGGCTACTTTTAAATAATATTTGTCTAAATAATTTGTCACTAGACGGAGACGTTAGGCGCCATCTCTTATGAAATTTAATAATTAAATTTATATTTATTAAATAATCTAGAATATTTTGAAAGAAAACTGGTAGCATAATTGGCAACGAATCCGCACGTAAGCGGGAATTGTGGGTTCAAATCCCTTGCCGGGCCGAATTTTTTCTTCCAGAATATTCTAAATTATTTAATAAATATAAATTTAATTGTAATTATTAAATTTAATAAGAGATGGCGCTATCTTCTAGTGACAAATTATTTAGTAATTAATAATCGCGGAAAAGTAGCCCAATATAATCCGGTGGTTGTTTGGCTTTACAAATTTATCCGGTTACGTGAAGCTGTTTATATGAAAATTTAACTGAATGGCTTTATAATTTCTAAAACAAACTCATTTTTATCCTCAAAAATAAGTTTAACTTTTTGAAATAACTAATAATAAAAAAGCTATTTTTAATAACATTTCATAAGGGATGGCGCCAAACACATTTTTTTTTAAACTTTAAGCTATCGTTATAGTGTATTTTTTGGCGGAAAGTTATTCAATCAATCGAGAGATTTTTTATTCATATTTATTGACAATAGGACGACCGAGTCATTAAAGTACAGCCTACAGTTGTAGGGGACCCGGGGAAAAACCGGGGACCGGGAAAATCCAGGAGATATTAAGGGAGTGGTTCGACCCAAATATATCAGGCATCCTCACTCATTACTCGGCCTTACCGTTGTGGGCCTGGCTAAACCCACAACGAGTTTGGTAAGAGATCGATTATCTTTGGGCCCACAGAGGAAAACCGTAATACCCATTTTTTCCACCCATTGTTATAAAGAGTCGATTGTATTGTTAATGGAACGAATTAAAATTTCTTTCGGCATCAGGAGAAAATTGAAATATATCTAGAAATTATCTATTGACAGCGAATATTTAATTGTATGCTTCACTTGTGCACGAATATGCCGAAAATAGTTTTTTAAAGTTTTTTTTCATCCATCGAATATAAATTGCAGACTTCTATATTGTTTAGCGAATATATTATGATATTATGCACGTGTTTATGCACATCAGCAGTGAATAAAATACTGTATCGTATATTCTCGAGTATCAAGAATATCTTTACAAAATTATCCAACAGTCAATATGCTCGATTAATTAAGTCTATTATTAAGGACGTTGCTTACATTTTTAGTAGAAAGTAAAAATATATTCAGTTATTGGAGAATTAATAGTTACATTTAAGAAAAATTTTTTTGTATAATTTATTAATACACGTGGAATAAATTAGTTTTATGCAAGTTTTTGTTCGGTTTAAAGTAATTTTAGTAACAATCAAAATTATTCTGGTGCATTGATCACGTCAGACAATCGATAATAGGCTACATTATAAAGATAAACAAGTTTCCTTCCCTAACAAGTTCCGTGTTAGGGAGCAGAAAATTTATTGAAAAATTCCATTTAAATAAGGGAAAATTAAATCATGCGTCAGTTTCTATCCGCTGCTTAGTTTCATTGTGAGTTAATTAGAGAAGAATTTCTAAAAATTTTTTAAAAGAGGAATTTTCTGATAATTTGATCAACAATGCGAAGCTTCTGGAAGATAATTAAATAAAAATCAATAATCCAGTAAACCTGTGCCTAACTGAAAAATTTGATAATGCTCAAATGTACGTAAAACCATTGTCTATCAACAATGGTCTTCAGCTTTTATCGAAACTCTCAAAACTAGTGTTTTCGTAATTTCATCATTATTAATTCTTCATAGTTTCAATAATACTCGTAATGGAGGAAGGCGAAATATCTTGTCCCGTTTGCATGATCAAGCCAATTCTGTCTGTTTCCAAAATATTTGGAGTTCACGTGTTATTAGACTGCAGTTGCCAGAGCAGAGTATCTCAGGGAACAATTAAGATTGTATTGTATAGAATTTACTTGACTGTTTTAGAAACTTTCTGGTGGTTTAGCTTTATCAATTGCATGTTAATCTTCTTTAATCGTGGTATATTTTGTAACGATTTAACAGATAAAATGTTCGGTGATGAGAAAATAATTTTCGATTTTCTCTGGTTGATGTGTGCTTTATTTTTTGCAGTCATGCATACCACATTGAATAGAAGAAAGCTCTCTTTCTTCTGCAAGGAAAGCTCATATATTGGAGAACATAAAATAATGGAAAAGCTAGAAATGTATTCTATTAGAATATTAAATTCAATTTGCTTCACTTTATTACTGTTTAAGATAATAACGGATACTTATGTGTATCATTTTATGAAATTAAATTTCAATTCTCATTCGGAAGCATTTACCTGCGCTTTGTATTTCGAAATTTTCTTCAGTATGATTTATTCGGAGGGAAGTGTTATAGGATTAGAGTACTTTTCTTTATTTCTCATTGTCCAGAAAAGATTCGATTACTTAACAAAAGCCTTCTTGCAAATTTTCGAAAATCCAAGAAATTTAATGAGAAGATTGAATGGCTTGATGAACAAACACACAGAATTGTTGTATCTTGTAGAGGACGTCAATGATAAACTTGTATTATTTCTTCCGATTGTTTATGGATATTTAATGTATATGAGCTGTTTCTCTATGTGTGCATTCTTCTTCGTAAATATGAGCATTTCCATAAAGATATTATTCGCCTTAATGTCGATTACATGTATCTCCGGAACTCTCTCACTCGGTTATTTTGCATCACGTTTCACTGCTAAGGTAAGATTAAAACTAAAATCTCCATAATTTCATATATAATTCGTTTTTTATTGATAAAGCGGGATAATGTTTGCTGATTATATTACAGATATATGGAAAATTGAATGAAATGGAAACGTTATCTTCGGCTAACTTGTCTCTGGAAGATAAATTAAAAGTAAATTGTTGATTATTACAACAGTTTTATATATAACTTTATAAATATAATCTTAATAATAATTTTGGAATGGTAAAATAAGGTTTATGGAAGTGGAGAGTGTGGAGGGAAATGCCCTTACTACAGCATATTAGGTGTTAGACATGGGAATAACAGGTAAACTTTACCTGATCAGCCTGTTGGCCAGTGGTCTAATCCATCATTTTATGGAAGTTTCAGGCTTGAGATTTTTTAGGACTCTTTTTTTGAAAGTTATACGTAATAAATTTTTTAAAAAAGTTAGTATTTTTATCCTTATAGCTTTCTCTAAATACTATAAGAAGTTTTAGTGGATGGCCTCCCATTGTTTAAAGAATTCCCCGAACAGCCTATTATAAAATAAATGATAATGTACAGAATTTACTGTTGATTAATTTATACTTTGTTTATCCAGAATAAAGAAGTATATATTCGTAATATTATTTTTTGTTTTTTATTTATTGGCAGTTACTGGATTTCATGAAAAGATTTAGTAAAGTTCCCATAGGAATATCTGTAGGGGGATTTTTCCATGTGAAAAAGAACGTCATCATCAGGGTAAGTTCGGATCGTGATTTTTACAATTACTTCTCTCTTCATCTATATAATATTTTCTTTTTTCAGGTTCTTACCGCAATGGAATCCATGATATCGACATTAAACTCATTGTCAAGTAAAAGCAATACGAAATCGTGTTCTCGAGTGAAATCATATTTAAATGCTACAGAGTCATCTGCACATTAAATGTTTACTTTGTATAACCGTGAATAAATTAGTTTCTGTTGACGTTTTTTGATCTGTATTTGTTCTTTAACGATAATTTTGAGCTTTCTCTTTGAAGATCTTTTTCACTCTTACCGGTCTGTTGGCATTAAGACGATCTTTTATATAAGTATTATGGGTTCGACCAAGCCCACAATGGAGCAGTCTGACGGTGAGGGAAGGAGCATCTTATTCGATCCCAGCTCCCCAGAGCAGTAGGCTGCCATCCAAGTCACTTGACCATCCAGCCATTTTTAAAAATCCAGTACTAAATCTGTTGGTACCATTTAAATGGGTTATGGAATAAGAAAATTTTATACACGGGAAACTGTCAAAGGGGCGTTACTTTTCGGGATAATTTTCTATAGAAAACTGACTCTTCTTTACATGCTACAAATATATTAGATGCCGAGTGCTTGGATTTAGTCGGCCACTCGTGGGTTCATGTACCATTTGAAATCTCGAGTTACGATATCTAGACGTAGATAAAAATGCCAATACGTATTAAATCGTCATCGGGCACTTTTTCCTGTTTTTTGGTCTCGTCCCACTTTGTGACCACTAATGTTTGTTTAGGATGCTCATCGTGAGTTCGGCGAGACCACCAATGAGCGCGGCCAGATGGCAAAAGAAGAGATCTAATATAAATTATGTAGGAAACACCCTCGATGAAAAATTCTTTCATTACTTCATCCTGACGGCCGGATGGCCGAGTGGTCAAGGTGGCATTCTACCGTTCTAGGGGACCCACTACTGAATATATCAAAAAATCACCAGGAAATTTTCGGGGTGATCCGACCCAATATGTCGGCACTCCTTGTGAAAATGGTTGTATCAATAATGGGCTTGCAAAAAAGAGGCCCTCTTAGTGCCCACAGAGCAAAAAGAGTTAAAATGAAAGTGGCTCAATTAAACGTATTTCAGTATACGACTATATTTCAGTACAGAAATTAAATCAAAAACCTCGAAAACAATGACAAAATCGGCATTGTTCCAAAGCTCCCCGTAATTAGAGCTAGGCAATTGAAGAGCTAGGTAATGTGGTGCCATCTAGTGTAAATGAGAGACGTAAATTTGGTTTCTTTTTCTTAGAACTGGGATAACTTTTCAGTAGTTTGACCGAAATTCACCGAAGTCTGAAAAATATCAAGCAACTGTCTGGATTTATATTCCAAAAAATAGCACCCAAAAATGTCAAAATACTTGTTTGTTATTAAGTGCCAAACAGATGAAAGTCCACACTTTCGTTGTTTTGAATACAGTATATCTTTTCGCACATTTAATTATATTTTTCAAAAACGCAATGTATTGAGCATTTTCCCATCAAAACAATCGAAATCTAACGTGAAAGTGTTTTTTAAAAACTTAAATAATATGTGAAAATGTTACCTCAGTAGCCTGGGCTTTGCCCAGGCAATTAACGTTTTGATAATTTATGTAATAATAGGAAATGGACGAATTAATAATACTTAGTTTTATAAAAATTAAAGCCAATATCATTCGTATTAGCAGTATCTTCTACTTACAGACTATTAACAGAAAACCATATGTACGATCCTTATATGTAATTTTCAAATTAAGCATACCGTTTAAGATTGACCGTTACAAAATTCAAATTATTACCTTGCATAAAAAACAAACTTGTGAATTATTTAGAAAAATACGATTAGTTATCAGATTTTTAAAAGTGTTACAATTCAATGCTATCAAATTTTATGTTTAAAACTTAATAGAATTAATTTTAAAAATAGTCCACAAAAATTGTCCCAGTAGTTAACGGGATTAAACAAGTAGAGCCAAGAGAGCTTTTCACACCAAACTTTTACTTCTCTATTACTTTACATTTCATACTGTTTCTGAGTTTTAATCTCGACTACAGTCATGATACCTTTAATGAGCTATTCCGAAATCACTTGAAAACTGTATTGAATGCCATCTTGTTATTTTAATTACGATTACATCCTGATCTCGATCAAACCGATCCGATATCCAAATACAAATAAAAGGCTAAATTCACCACCTTTGCAGAATATAACGATTTTCATTGTTCACTACATATTGCACATTCTTTTTATTAATACAGTAGAGTCTCCAAAACTCGGCCTAATGTTAACCGAAGGGTGGCCGAGTTTGTGAAAATGCCGGGATATCGGGAATGGGGTTTAAAAAAATAAGTACGAATGTTTCCTCAGAAAATACTGTAATGTACTTGTATGTATTGTTTACTTGAGAATACAATAGAGAATAAACTGCCCAAATACCCTTAAACAAAGGAAAAGTACGTACTTTATGAAGGCATAGAGCCTTTACTACATGAAAATGAAAATTAATGAATACACTGTGTACAGTAATTTACCTGATAAGACAGACTTCAGAAAAATACTTTATGAGGCATAAAGCTGTCTATGATGAAAATTAATTAACTAAGGATTTTTTTGCCATGCCAGGGTGTGGCCGACTTATCCAGACCTCCGGGTTATCGAGTGCCGAGTTTTCGAGACTCTACTGTATAAACTTTGATCTCATCGCTTGACGCATACTTTCTTGTTTATACAAATAATCTTGCAATCATCTAATTTGTATAAATTCCCTTATGTTCAGAGACCGATCTTCATTTTAACTAAATTTTTTTCATGATTTTAACTAAAACATTTTTCATGATAATTTCGAACTTTTAGAACTTGTTATCATGTAAAATGTAATCAACTGAGTAATGAATTCAAAAGTATACTGAAACAAAATGATAATTTTTAGCAATATAAATAACAGAAATAAGGTTTCCTACTATAAAAAATTCATTTACTTTCACGACTGCTTCCTTGGTAAAGAAGAAAAAATTGTTACTTCTGAAACCCACTTCGGCCTTTGCAACGTATAACAACACTAGTACCTAAGGATAGAAAATTCAATATTAAAATATTCTTAATATATTTTTAAGTTTATATAATTTTAAATTAAAAGAAAATTAAATATAGCTAATGTTTTAATAAAAAATTAATTAATTAAAACTCTAAGAAATTATAAGGAAATGTTCACAGTTCGTTCGTCATCTTCATTCTGAAAATATATGTCCATGATGTATGAAACAGATCGGCGCATCTATATCATAAAATTATCCGTTATTAAAGAAATGAAAAATGCTACATTAAGATAAAATTTGTTGCAATTAAATGAAAGTATCCTTAGGACTTACGTTAGAAGGTATTCTTGCCATGTATAAGAAGTAAGTTAATACAGCAATCAGAAGAATAACAAAGACAAGTACGAAAACGAAAGAATAAAAGTTAAATGTGATGTAAAGCAATACATAAATACATGCAACGCATCCTATTGGAACGAATACTGTAATGACTAAGGCATGAATCGTTTGACAAAGTTTATCAACAAATTTAATAAAATAAACAACAGAAGATAACTCGAATAATGCTGTTTTATTTTCTAAACCTCCTTTCAAATTTTCATTTATATCCAAGATGAATGTTTCGAGTAAATGAACGGGTAGAAATGTTATGATCCAGGCAAATCCTATGGTATAACAACCAACGGTACTGAAAATATAAAGGCTGAACACGATGTGAAAATTACAGAATATTTCTTGAATGAACGTCTGATGACGACTGCGATAAAAAGTGTAAAATGTACAACAAGCGATACACCATATCACAGCAAGAAAACTGAAATAAAACACGATAAAATCTTGATAACGTTGAAGTTTTACGTAAATTCTACTTGCGCATTTGACTCGTTCGTCCGCAAACTTGATGGCTTTGAATATCTCATTAGCGTTCGTGTTATAAACGTATAAACACATTACAGAAAACAAGATTAAGATTAATACTATAAACCGTGTATTTTGTCCTAAAATTTTCCAAAATTGGGGGATGCCGCAAGATTCCACCCATTCGAGTTTTATAAAAGGAACAGAAAACCCTTTTGGAATCAAAAAAAGAATGAGTACAATCGACAGAAGATATACCTGAAGCGTGAATATTTTAATCCACAAATGATCATTTCTTTTGGGTATAAAGATACCAAAAATGCGCAAAATATTAAAATACGGTTGAACAATTTCTAAAATTGAATTTGCCATCATCGAGTTGTTTCAAGTGGGTATTGTGTTGCTAGAGTAGTGGACAAAATGCCGTATAAATTATTCCTGAGTATTATGGATAAGCTTTTAAGATTGTTTGCAGTCTTTAATAGTGTTTGTTCGTTAATCGTATAATTAGTTGAAAGCAATTTTCCCAGAGTGTTTGATGGAAGATAATGGAATATTTATGATTATGGGTTTAAAACAATAAAGACACGTGGAACAAATAAAGTGTAGCAACTATCATTAAAGTTAATTTCATGTGATAAATCATTTTGATATTATAAGATAAGCCTACAATATTTAGTGAAATTTTGACAGTTTTATATTAATTCCAGTAGGATTGAAGGGCTACTATAAATTAACTATCCTTACTTTGGTAGGAGTCTTACAAAGTAAACAAGAAAGTAAAGTATTACAAGCAAGTTACTGAAATAACTGTTCTAATTAACTACTGTTTGCTATAATATCTCAGAGTAAAGAATTTCGATTATATTGCATTTACTATAGTGCTGTTTCAAAAATATAAGTTGTGCTTTTAATGTTTATGCGAGTTAGTCCATTGTAATGCCAATCAATTGTAAATCAATTATACGACAATTTCGTTTATGCGACATTTCTGGGACGAGAGTTTCGATACCAGATTATAGAAGGTGTTTGCCTTTTTGTGAAATTTAATAAGTTATACTCCATCTAATCTTTGCGCATACTGCTATAGATTTTGCACCTGCTTTCCGTTTGTGTATTCACACTCTTTATACAGTTCCAAGACGATAGAATGAATATCCACGGTGTTAAGGTTAATTGAAAACCCATAAGTATATTGATGAACACATTACTGCAGCCTATGTTTCGCGCACCATACGTTTTTCTTTCATTTTCGCCAATTCAC